AGTGGATCTGCACAATGGCTATTTTGGGATGATTCCCACTGGATGGGGGCAAGTGTGGGAATGTGAGGGGTTCAAGGGCTAAAAATGTCCGTACTGCGTGGGAAATATTTTCAAGCAAACTGCAATGATGAAAAATCGGGACAAAAAAAGGCAGTAAAAGGGATGGTTTGGCTTTTTTATAGCAGAACAGAAAACTTAAAGTGCCAGCGTCACCACACTGATGATGTTCTTTGGTTGTTCTGCGGTTTGGTTCTCACTCCGCTTTGTCCGTTTTAAGTAAACAACAGTTGCTCCTGTGTTACATTTAGGCTTATTCAGATGTAACGTTTCTCTCTTAAATCAATAGTTTTTATTGTATTTAAGTACACAAATGTCTTAAGCTAAATTGAAAAGGTTTACTATCGGTTAATATAGTATTGGTGCACTGTTCTTCTAAACACACTTTCTTCCACATGATCGCAGACAAATTAATTTATTTTGGCTTTCTTTCAGCAACATAAACATAAAAACTATGGATAAAATAAAAAGGGCATGATGCCATATAAGTTGTTGTGTCTGTCTGTAGGAGAATGGGGGGTATAAGGCACGTGTCCATTGGGGAGCAACAGATGGAGAAAAGTAATCTGGTGGAACCCCCTAATCTGCTCAATATGTGCGTATGTGTTTTATTCCCCGGACGAGCCCCCATCAGCTTGGTCCGCTTTGCAATGTGAGCAGCTGGTGCTTCCACCAGGGCTATGCTTTGTGTCAGAAAGTTAAATACCCATGAGTTTTTTTCCCCAACAAAGACACACACCAGATCTGATCCTATTAGTGATTACATCACTGGCACAAAGCCACTCACATGCTTTGGGCTAAACAAGCCTACTTTTATTTACAGACGAATCTCATTGACATCTTACCTCCACCTCACAGGTGAAGTCAGTTCCATCCAGGAGGGTAACGTGACACACCACCACCTTCATTTTATTCTTCCTCACAAGGCGAAGAGGAGACTGGAAAATCGAAGTCTGGCTTTCTCCTCCGTTTGTTTCAGCCTCTACGTGTTCTTCTGGTTCCTTTTTCTTCTCCTCCTCTGCTTCTTCTCCGTCTCCGGTCTCTTTGGGCTTTTCCGGACTTTTTGCAGTGGTGTCTTCCACCTTCTCTTCCTTTGCCGGTGGCTGCAAGAAAAAAAGAGAGGCAAAACTCAGTTGTTATTGATGCTCTGATTTCTTTATTATCATATTCAAACCTAAACTGTTAGGAAGTTCCCAGTTGGCTCTCTTTAATGGTCCTTGTGTGATTTTCTCTCCAATTTGATGTTGTAAAAAGAAAAGCAGGCGTTTCTTTTGGCCTGGTGACCGAAACGTTGATGTCAATGGGTGGGCCCGCTTAGCATAATGTGATCAGCGGATGGAAGAACACATGTAAGCAAGCTGGAGAAAATGTTCAAGTCTTTGCTTCATTCTTTCCAGATAAAGAAACAAATCTAAAGAAAATACTGTTGCACATACATGTTTATCAGCTTGATGTCTGTATTTTAAGAGGTAATCTCCTTAAAATGTTCCTCCCTTAACTGTGAAGTGGAAAATCTTGGTTTTCAAAGTTTTTCTTACCCATTAAAATTTGAAAAATGTACTATGCATTACTTTCCTATGATACTCATAAATCCAGTCAAGTGCCATCTCTGTAGTTCATACAGAGTAAGCAGTTCAATTCAGTTTTTATTTACATACTGCCAATTAACAACAAATGTCATTTCGAAGCACTTTACAAAAAAAAATTTAATTCACTCTCACATATTTTCCAATACATTGAAGTTTGCAGTTTCAACATGCCTCCAGTTGTAATTTTTTCCAAACATTTTGGACTAAATTCACATGACATCTGAAAGTACAGATGTCACGATGCTGATGATACACATAGCAGAACCCTTACCTCAGTGTCTGCACTGGCGTTGGAGTCAGATTCAGGCTGCGTTGCTTCCTTGACTTCCTCCGACTTCACTTCCTCTTTCTCTTCCACTTCCTCGGCGTGGCCGTTCACCTCCGGGGCAGGCTCCTCCTCTACCTCTACCCCCTTGCTGACGGATTCCTCTGTTGCTGGGACCTCCTTTGTTGGAGATGTCTAAATGGGCAGAATTACATTTTTTAAATTAAATCCCAGTTTTAGACCTTAAATAACACACCTGGCTTTGAAGATCCAGTTAACAGACTCTGATAGTAAAATTGAAATTTTGCTTTTCAGACAGTCTCAACAGCATAGAAACATTAGTCTGACTTTACCTGGCTTTGAGATTTCTGCTTCTTAAACCATGTTGGCAAGTATCGAGTTATCCCTTTGCTTTCTTTACCCTCTTTTTCCTTCTCCTTCCCCTTTTCCTTCTCTCCCTCAATGTTCACGACTTCCTGGCTCTCTTGCTTGGCCGTCTCCGATTGGTCCGGCTGAGCAGCTGACTCCTCTGCTTTCTCCTTCACCTCTGTCTCAGAGCCCGCTTCTGTTGTCATAGTGATTGGTCAATCTGTAGTAAAAGAAAAAAATGAAGAAAAGAAAAAGGAGGTGAGTGATGTAGCATGATGTGATGAAATGTATTTTGGGGTTTACGACTCCTACAAAAACATGAAGGTATGCTGTACGTTAAACCCACTGCAAATATTTGCCTAACGCAAATAACAGCTGGGAGCAGGTGAATTCATTAGTTGATGATATCACATTTCCACAGAGACTTTCATCTGGGTCACAAACTGGTTACAAGCAGATCTATGTATACCCAGAGAGAAGAGAGTTCCTCAATTGTTAAAATATGAGTCACGGCAGTTTTGTGCTGCAGCTGCGGTCAGCATACACAAACTCTTCAACCCAAATTTCTTTGGCAGCACTGTCCACACACAATCTTTCATAGCAACAGGCACTTCCAAGCAGCTTGACACTAATTTGTTGATAGCGCTGCGAGACAATGACATCGCTTCGCTAAGAGAAGTAAAGGTCATGGATATGAGAAGAACAAGTTTGAAAGTAAAAATGTGTTATTTAAATCACATTTAAGTTGTCATTCTTCTTTAATCATCCTTATTTGTTCCTTATCAACATCTTAAATGGAAATTTACTTTTATTTCTCTGGTCTGCCATGTTAGATAAAAGCAGACACACAAACATCCACAGGGCGGCAGCGGTGCAAAGGGAGGGCGTCGGAGTAAAAATAGAGCAGGGGTTCTTACGCATGATTGGCTAATGAGGTAGAGCTGAGAGGAGGAGAGATGGATAGGGAAAGGTGTGTGTGTGTGTGTGTGTCTGGAAAAAACAATAAACCAGTTGAGTAGAGAACAAAAACAAGGAGATAAACACTTCTTAAGAAGTAAATCCAGTTCAAAAAAACATCACAAAAAACATCACATATAAGAACCACAGCTGATGTTACTTTAGAGTTTTCTCAGACACAAAACTGATTCTTTAGCACTTCTCATGGAGGTTCAATGATAAGTCAAGAAAAAAATAAGGGAATCAAAAACAATTTGCTGAAAGTAAGAAGTTGCTTGTAGATCCAAGAATGGAAAAGTAAAACTGAGCTGCACAAACGCAATCTGTGAGTCTGTTTCAGAAAATGTGTCATCAGAATTAATGTTTTACTGCACAGTCAAGGCAAAGCTTTCCTCTCGGCATCAGAGTAGCAATGGAGAAATACTATGACAGGTGTGAAGGCAGCACCTGAAGACTATCTGCAGAGCGAAGTCAGCCTCCAGTCTTCAGTCTCAAGGGGTTTGCCTCCAACAGGTTCTTCTGCCAGGATTGCCCTGAATTGAGCTATTTTGTTTACAAGAATTTCATGATCCATTTTACTAATGACTCTTCATGAATGTTTATGACTGCTGTCCTGAAATGTCACTTGGTAAATATTTACACTTTTAATGCAAAGTTGTATTAAAGTTATATTAAAAGTGGATTAAAATGGTCAACTTTGCACTAAAAGTGTCATTATGTACCGGAGGAGACTTCATGACAGTCATAGACATTCATGTAGACTTCTTGTTTATTACAGGTGTTATGTCCTGTTTATGACAGCATTATGCCAGTCTTATGCACACCCCATCAACTAAAGTGTTACCAAATGTTGCACTGGATTTTATTTCTTGTCGTCAGACTAAAGAGGGTTAAACAGAAGTGGTTGCTATTTGCACTCCTGTCACAACAACAAATTTTTCTGGACAATTAATTGCCCCAGAAGTTATTGCAATGAATGATAATATTGTTAATTTGAGTCGTTTTTCAAGTAATATAACGGTAATGGCATAATAATGCAAGTTTCCCATTTCATAAACCAATAAACTTTCATTTCTGACCAACATTTAACCCTAGAACTGGAAGAAATTTTAAATATCTAAACACACACACACACACACAAAAAAGAAACAACACATAAAAGGAATTATTAAGTCTCTGTAAGTGAAATTTCCCTTCAAATGCAGGGCTAGTTGAGACCAAAACACCAATCTGAAGTTTTTGTCATCCAGTCTTTAAAAAGACTGAAGAAAAACAATCAGACAAATGTAAAATATCTAGCTTGTTTTAATTTATCATGCGGTTAATTGATTTATTGCAACAGGCTTTAACCATGTGCCATTTTCCTCCCTCTAATTATGTCATTCTTTGTACAGAGCTATAAAGTAGTACTTATAATGTGATAAAATATGGAATGGTTTAAGGGCGATGAAAACTTTTGCAAAGCACTGGATGCCCAATTTAAGTAGCGACAAAACTACTTAAATTGTGGTTTGTAAGAACAGTCCTCGATTAAAACCCCCCTGCAGATCCTTCTCAGAAACAGTGCTTCTCTTAAAGACTGGGTTTATTCGGAGATGGCACCTAAGTGGAGCTTCGTCTCGGTGGCTTAGGCCTGCTTCAAACTCGCCCTCTGTCTCTACAGCTCTTAACACCGGGAACCTTGTTCTACTGCTCCCATAACTTCAACTCTCTCATTCCCTCCGCTTTCTCTTCGTTGCCCTCTTTTCTTCTCCGCTCAGGAAACCTCTGTCTCCCTTCCAAGACCCCATTTTAGCCCCTAATTTACATTATCTCCTACACTCTTCTTCTCCTCTCTCCCTTCACAAACAAGCCAGAGAAGCCAATAAAACCGAGTTTTTCTGATGGGAGTCAAGAGTTTCTGAGCTACAACTGTAACAGATGGCTGATACAAAGGGGTCAGGCGCAGGTGAAAAACATTGAGTCGTACAGCTGATGCCTAAGCCAGCTGACATCCTGTGCGTTTCTTGCTTCATTAAAGACGACTCCAAATTTGTCTGCAGGCGCGCATACTGATGGTGTTGTGGTGCATTGTCTTCAAATATTTTATGCTCATTTAATCCAGTGAAATTGAGAAAGTGGGATTTGTGATTTAACTTCCTGAGCTTTCTCTGCATTTACCTTAGCGTCTCACTTTGCATATCTCAACCGATGTAATCATTATCCAGAGGTGTGCAGAATCGCTGGCTAATTGCGGTTTTACTCCGCTTTGTGCATTTAATATGATTCACATCTATTTGCTTTACAAAATTACCACAGATTACACTGTTGTGAGAAGCTGATTACACTGCTGGGAATGTTTGCTGCACGTATTCCCACCTCTCCTGTTAGCTGTTAGTTCTTGCAAATGAGCGGATGGATGGTTACATGAGCTGATGAGCTTACAGCCTTACCTACTTTCGCTTGTGTTTCTCTCTTACTTCCCTTTCGCTCCTCCTCACCTACGGTTGCCTTCTAAAATCCCGTTCAGCTCTTCCTGCCTTCACTTTCTGTCTCTTTCTCTCCCCGCCGCTCAGGGAACGCCTGTCCTACTAACTGTCCTCCATCCTCTCCGTCCCTCAGAGCTCCGCTTCCTCCAACCCCCGTCTCCCAGGGCCCTCGCACAGAGAAACGAGGGCAGAAAACGGGAGAGAAATTCAGAGGGTTGGATAGAAGTGTGCCTACTGCGCCAGATTACTAATGGACGACGATCGGCACGGGGATTAAGACTTCCTCGGCTCGGTTTTCATACCACATCAAGCAGGAAAAGCTTCCATAAACACCTCTTCTGAGACGACTATGCTTTCTTTCCCCCCACTGTTTTTTTTATTGTACTTGTTTGGAGTATTTATGAGCATCCTGAAAGCAGAGCTCTTACTTACAAAGTTATCACTGCATCATTTTTTTTTAGGCTGCAGACAGTTGAAACTGCATATTTCTTTGCATGGAAAAAGAGGGTCATGAAGACTACCACTAACCCCAGAGAGAGGGAGAGAGAGCACCACCCATTTGTTCAGATATGACTCCATTCCACCTCAAACATTGAAGCCAAGTAGACAGAAATTCAACAACTTTAGGTTCAGGGGATGAAAGTGTATAATCCAGGAGCGTAAAATGGAAAATACTGTCACAAAGGGGGAAAAAAAGACAGTAATAAGCTGTATTTTAATGCCTCCATTCCCCCTTTTTCATTTCTTTTATATGTTGTAATGAAGATAGCAGAGCTGTGTAGGTGATACAAAAGCACATGCACACCCACCCACCCTATTCTATGGGGCGTAGCAGGGCAAGAGTGGAGGAACAGGTTTCTATGGTGAAGGCATTCATGGGCTACTCCAATAAATCCCCAAGGAGATGAGAGATTACTACGGTAAAAATAAATATCGGTGGATGGGGGAACTGGTGACAATAGGAGATTGTTACCGTGTCGAAGCCTTTTCAGAGCACATCAGGGTTACATGCGATGTTCATTGTGCAGCTATCAGAGCCGGAACGGATACTTCTGACTCTCTGCGTTCAGTAAAGAGAGCAGGGCTTCGTTTAACACCAGTTGGTTTATCCATGACAAATCACATCTATACCATGCACCAAGTCATATCTGCACTATTTTAGTAATTGATTAATCACTAACTGGAGCATAGACTCAAAAATAAGGTCAATTAAGATAAAAACATCCTTGTCTGTAAATATGTTTCACCCAAAACTCCCCAAGTGGTAGTTCTAGCCTAGTTCTTATTTGCTAAAGGAATGCTTCATTACTGCATAAAAATGTTTATTCTCTTATTTAAAAAGGAAACTGAATTGTTTATTTACAAACTTTAATAAAGTTGATTCTGACTTTATTAGAATAAAGAACGTAAAAAACACGTTATTTTACTGTGTGCAGTAAAAGAACGTAGCAGGTTCTTTTACTGCACACAGAACGATACTTGAAAGCTCAATGAGGAAAGCGGGACAATTTATGACCAGTGATTCACATACAGTCGCTGTAAAATCGTTTCACTAAGGTCAACAACTAAAGATCAGCAACGGTTATCTTTGTACCGCTGTGCATGTTCTCCCTGTGCATGCTTGTGTTCTCTCTGGGTACTCCGGCTTCCTCCCACAGTCCAAAACCTCAAAATAAGTGTTTGGAAATGAGTGTTTCATTTTCACACTTTGTTTTTATTGCAAATATCATCGTTTCAAAACAGCCACATTTGTAGAGATGCACCAAAAAAAAATTGCTTGTTCTATTGCTTATTT